TGTAGACTCTCTGATGATAATGAGAGTCCAGCAGTGGCTGAAGGACTTGCATAAACCCTCTCCCCCAGATGGGAACCGTAGTCCAGCAGCATCTGGAGGGCCACCATTCCCTGTCACTGAACCTGAAGAGGATTCCCACTCTTTACTGCACTAAGACATCTAATATTTTCCAAGGAAGGAATTCATGAGTGGCATGGATCCAGGGGACACGAAGGCCCTGCATGCAGCTAACTCACCTCCTAGTCCCCCACGGTTACATGAGGGAAAGGCTCTTTTCCCTTATGAATTGTAACTGAATCACAAGGTTGCATCCCTAACCATGAACGCTGCATTGACAAAGAGGTCCATCAAAATCAACAGGACATATTTCAGAGAAAATATGTCGAGAATGGAAATGCTAATGTGAAATATGCTGTAATTTCTCTTTCAGAGATCTGGTAAGTGGAATAGGAAGCCCGGTTTGAGAGCCATTGTGGTGTGGTGGTCAGTGCTGGACTGGAGACATGGGAGTTCCAGTTCTGATTCCCACTTGGCCACGAGGCTCACTGGGCGACTTGGGCCAGTCACTGACGCTCGGCCCAGCCTCCCTCGCAGGGCTGTTGCTGCAAGGATGGCATGGGACTATGTGAGTTGCCCCGGGTTCCTCAGAAGAGGAAAAAATCAGGATAAAAATGCAGTGTAATAATAACAACAGCAGGTTTGCTCCCCGCCATCTTTTTCTGTGCTTTGCTTCTGGTGCTGCCAGTGAAGAAACTGCCTAGAAGTTAGGGGAGGTTGTTATTTATGACATTTATATACCACTTTTTAGGTGAACCTCACAAAGTGGCTTACTTAGTAAGATGCCCCACTCAAACCTAGCAATGCCAGTGTTTGGTGGATCTTAGACTGATCCAGGAAAGTCATTCACCATATTCTGGAAGTTGGTCTGCCTACAGGTCATGTTAAGTGTAAAACTGACCAAGCAAAAAGTCCAGAGGTTTTTGTATGCATTTGCAATTACTCCCCCTTCCCTGCATAGACACCTGCCCAATCAATCCTACCAGGTTTTTAGCCACGGGTGGGGAGTTACTATAGGTCTTGACTCATTTTGAGAATATGCCAACCCTTCCTCTGAACTGTCAGCTTTGTTGCTTTCTACTCTCTAAGTGCACAGACAATATTATCAGTTAGGAGAAAGGCAATGTTTCAGCCGGGCACCTGCAGCCTTGATGCCTGGCAAACAGTTTGGTGGTGGTGGGTCACTGCTATAACAAACCATCTTAGAGTAACTCATGCAGGTGGAACCTTGGAATAACTCGACAAAATGCACAGTTGCACACCAACAGAAATTGCTCCCATATGGTACCTTACCTACCCTGCACCTTAAAAACCACTTTGAATGAGCAATATGCATTTTCTGTTACTTTTATATGGAAGTGCTGGCTCCTGTATTATTCATTTTTAGATTTATAGTCTGCCTTTTTTTCTTACATTGAACTCAGAGTAGCTTACATAATTCTCCTCCTCTTCCTCTCACTCTGTCCCCACAACAACCACCCTGTGAGGTAGGCTGGGCTGGCAGTCTGTGACTGACTCTAGCTGGTTCCATGGCTGAGTGGGGACTAGAACTCAGATTGCCTGAGTCCCAGACCTGTGCTCCCAATGACCACAACACACTTGCTCTCAGCATTACACATTGTAGAAAGCACTATGCACATCATTTTGAGCATATATGGAAGCATATACATGATATAATCAGTCATAGAAGGTTTGCATAGCAGTGATCAGACAGTCCTCCTCTCCTGCTTTCAGACTGACTGAGCATAAGGGCATCTTGTTTCGGTAAGATTGTTAAATGACTTCTTTTTTTCCAGGTTCTAAATCACACAGAGAACCTCCATGGACAGAGATGGTTCTCTGCTGCAGATGGTTGCCCTCTGCACATGGAAAGTGACAAGGATAGTCAGAGAGGGCAGTGGAGCTAGCATGCTTGCCCTCACACTCCCCTCCTCCCACTTACATGTTTAGAGAGCTTCTTTTCCAAATGCCTGCATAGGGCTATAGTTAAAACACTTCAATTTTAAAAATTTAAAGATTTCCAAGTGGTTGATGTCCATTGGCAATTGGTCAGGTCAGGCTAATTGACTTCAAAGGGAGTTAAGGCCTATTCCTATATATGTTGACCCAGCAAAGAGTGCTTCAGCTGCTTACTGGGGCATACTGGGAAATGTAGGTCTATTTTTCTACATAACCTTGCATAGGATTGCACCGTTCATAGCATTGCTGGTGTTTTCTTAAACTATGCCTATTCAGAAGTAAGTTGCATTGGACACAAACTGTTAGGATTGCAGGCTAAAGGGGCAATCCTATGCAAGGTTATATGTAGAAAACTAGACCTACACCTCCGAAGCACGCAGCAGCCAGTTGAAGGCACCTAAAGAAGCTGGGTTTTCCATTTAAGGCGCTGAAGGGTAGCCGTGGGCCTTTTTCAGGATAACCTTACACGGGACTGCGCTCCTAGAGGGCGAAAATATTCCCTACGCGTTGAGAGTTGTAATTTATTACAGGCCTCTCCCCCGCGCCGTCTTCCCAGCAGGCGAGGCCATCTTTCGGAGCGGGCGGCTTATATGGAGCGCGCTTCCAGGCTCAGGCCGCTCATTCCACCGCGCTCGCCCGTAACGCAGCATGGCGCTTCCCTCTGGGACGTCTCCGCCCGTCCTGTGAAGACAAATATTTCTCAATTTTCCTTCAGATTTACAGATCCCAGCGGCGAGCACTCCGGCGAGATTATCCCAGTTCTGCAGACCCTTTATACTCTTGCCTCCTGCTGAATGATAGGAAGCATCTAAAGAATAAAGCGCCGAACGCGCGGACCACGGAGGTCGCCATGCTGTACCGACCAGAGATCGGTAAAGGAAAGGGTGGGTGCTCGTTGGCGCGGGATTTCCGTTTCCGCCCGGGCTGAGGTTGAAGCGGGTTGAGATTGGAGCTGGAGGTAAATAGAACAATTTCCCTTCTTGTTCTTTGTACGCTTTAGTTGGGAGCCTCTTTGAGTGGGGAAGCGGGCATGCCTTTGGGATCGATGGAAAGGGTAGTAGGGATGCCTGGACCAGGGTGCCCCGGCTGGGCAGAGGGTGCTGGTTGCTACGCCTGGGCTGCTCGGGTTCAAATGCATCCCCAAGCCAGAAAGCTTTCTGGGCTGGGCTTGGTCGTTCGTATAATTTTAGCATCTGCTCCTCGCCTCCAAAACATGAGTGAAAGGGACACCTGTGCTAAGCTGGTGCTGCGGCTAAAATAATAGGGAGTTGTTTGGCACCTTAAGAAACTAACAAATGTATTATGGTATAAGCTTTGTGAATTGGCAGCCACTTCATCAGACGCATGTAAACTATTATTATTGTTATTGTTATTTTGCATTCACATCCCGCCTTTTTTCCTCTTGTGAAGAACCCCACGCAGCTTACATGGTGACCCTCCTCTCCATTTTATCCTTACAACAACCTTGTGAGGTAGGTCAGGCTGAAAGTCAGTGACTGATCCAGAGTCATCCTGTGAGCTTCGTGGACTGAACAGGGAATGGACTTCCCAACTCCCAGGCCAGCACTCCTAACTGCCACACCACACTAGCTCTGGGTATAAAATGGCTCAGTTGAAAATACAGAAACTTTCAATAGGCCAGATGGTGGACTAAACCCAGATCTCCCAAAACCTAATCTAACTCTAGCCACAAGATCCCACAGCCTATTATGATGCCATCAATGTACATAGAGGTTTTGTAGGGAATAGGGATGTTCATTGGCTCCAAATCCCATCAGCCCTAGTCAGAATGAGTGAAGACTGAGCTCTGTAGTCCAGCAACCTCTAAAAGGCAACAGGTTCCCCATCTTTTTTACAGATTAATTGGGGGATGAGAAGTAGATCTTGGTCTTCAAGTGCTTATAATTTAAACTTGGGAATGGATGGGATGATACAACTGAACCTATGGTATATACCAACCCCTGTGCCCATGAGCTCTCTAGGCAGCTGGTTCCACTGTTGTATTGCTCTTGACAGTGAGGAACCTTTTCCTAATATCTAGCCAGAACCTGGGTTGTTGCAACTTTAGTTGATTATTCCATGTCCTACACTCTGGGATCAATGAGAAGAGATCTTGTCCTCCTCCTTTGTGACAGCCTTTGAGGTACTTAAATAGAGATATCATGTCCGCCCGTCAGTCTTCTTTTCTCAAGGCTGAACATACCCAGTTCTCTCAGTCACTCCTGATAAGGCAGTGTGTTACATTAGGTTTCAGTGGTGGATAAGAACTGGTGGGCTCTGAGGAGGGATTTAAAGAAGTAGGGAAGGAAGCATTAGTAGGAATCAAGGGATAGTTTTAGGAACAGAAGACAATGTGCAGTTTGCCCACTTGTCTCTTCTTTGACTATTGGAATCCCACAGAACATATAATGAGGAATCAGTTCTGAAGCGTATGCGGTTTTGATCTCAGTGCGGTTATGTACAAAGAAATAAGTAACTTGTGATACATATGTAGTGCTGGTTGGTGGAAACTAATCCAGATAGTTCAGGATAGGAGGGCGTGTGTATATATATTTCTGTCCATAAATAAATATTTGAACATGGAGTGTACGGTAGAGAAGGAGTGATAGAAACAAGACCGAGCTGGTGGTTTTAGTCATGTGGGCTTTCCAAAGCACAGAAATGGGCTCTTGCCATCTAGGAATCTGGGAAACATGGATATTTAATCTAAGGCACTGAAGTGCCTACAGAGCAAGAGAATCAGTACTGGACAGGGACAAATGGTTAAATGTTTAAGTGTGGTTAGATATATAGTCATTTCCAGAACTCACGTTGATATGCACTTTACATGCATATATGCAAATATATCTCATACAAGCACAGCTGTGGTCCGTTTGGAGCCATTTGCATGAAGAAATGTCTTTCTTAAGCATACGCATGGGGCTGTGACATATGTACATTGTGTACAATTATACAGTCTCCCTAGCAAGAAACTGTATTGGGCTGTAAGTTCCTTGTGTTTCCTCCAACAGCCCATTTCTACTTGCAGCTGTGCTTGATGCCCTGGAGGAGGAGAGACGCACATATGACAAAGCTTTGCTGAATAAACCTCTTACAGCTGGAACCAGTGAATCATGGCTGAAACCATTCACTGAAAAAATAACCCTTTGTAACAAATAAACAGCGTGGCAAGAAAGCACAGAAGATCTGGTGGAAGATTTCTGTTCTTGTACATTTGCATTTTATGAGCCAAAATTCCTAGATGTCACTACCAGATTTTAGGACAGCTGACAGTTCGGTCTTTTCTAACTTCCAGGTATAAGATTGCAAATGGAAGTATGTATTGATTGTGCTGGATCTTTCAGCTGCTTTCAGTGTCATCAGCGGTGCTAACCTTCTGAGTCACTTTGCAGGGCTGAATCTTGGATCATCCCTGGGGAGAGAATATGGGAACCCAGAGTGGGTTTTCCTCAATGTGCTGATGCTGTCCATCCTGTATCTATTATCTGTCATATTCTGAGTAAATCACACAGGTTCTGAATTAGTGTCCAAAATCAGTGGTGAACTGGATGAGGTGAAACAAGTGGAAACCAAATCTGAGCAAGAACAGTTGTATTCCTGATTTAGAAGCTTCTTGGTCCAGGAATAGGTCACCCGTCAGTTCTGGAAGGGTTGCACTCTTAGGAAAGTGTTTGGTGTTTACCTAGACCAGCCGGACTTGCTATTGGATGTTCGGATGGTCAGAAGGGTTTTGTTCCACTTTGGCTGGTGTGTCAGCTGGAGCTAGTCCTGCTTTTGCATCCATTAGTTACATCTTGATTGGACTATGGCAATATGCCTTGTGTGGGGCAGCCTCTGAAAGCCTCTCTCTAGTGCAGAACTCTGCTACTGAAAGTCTGAGCTGGCACAGTTCAAGGTACTGGATGTCACATTTCAAGCCTTAAAAGGCACATGAGCTGGCTCTTCGAAAGACTATCTCCTCCCTCTCCCCAAAGGCAAGGCAGGGCAACTTGTGGCCTTCCAAATATTTTGACTGTTAACACCCATGATTCCTCAGCAATGGCTGTGCTGATGGGTGTTGTAGGCCAGAATTTCTGGTGGGCCACAAGTTGCCCAGCCCTGCTTTAAGATAAACAGCTGTGCCCTGACATTGCTTTCAGAGACACAGTGGGGGCTTTCTCGATGGCAGTGCCCCCTGTGTGGAACTCTCTGCCCCAGGATGTTAGGTCATCTTGCTTTTGATCCGTGCTCCATGAGCAAGTGAAGGCATTTCAGTTTCAGCAAGCATTTGACTCACTGCTGCTGCTTCATTTTATTTATTGGCGGTTCAGAGTCTTTTCTTTTCTCCCCTGTGTTTGCTGCTGCTTTCTGTGCTTAAATGATTAGTTAATTGTTTTTGCTTTGCAAGTCTCCTTTGTAAAGAGTAAAAGCAGAGAAAGGAACAAAAAACAAATGTGTAAACAGCTTCTTGGTTTGCTGCTGCAAGTGCAACTCTGGTTTCTATTACCCTTCCACAAGGATTAATTGGAAACTTTTCTCCTGTCTTCACTTCCCACCCAGCTTCGTCTGTGCTTGACTGCTTCAGTTCTCCAGGCTTTGCTGCCAGATGCTGCCTTAGAAGAGGTGCCTTAAGGGTATGCAGTGGATGCAGGGGGTGGGGTGGAGCATATGCCTGCAGGGAGCATTCTTCACTTCCTCCCTGACTGAACATCTGCTTTGAGTGCCTCCCTAAGCCAGAGAATCTTTCTTGGGACCAGAGCGCTTCAGTTCCTCAAAGATTTCAAGCCAGTCTGACTTCCCTGGAGGTGCCTTGTCTCTCTCCAAGCCGGCACTGCAGTTTCCACCTCCTTTCACTGCCACCTGTGCCAAATGTCTCTTTCTGAACTGATAAACCTTGTGCCTGCTGTCTGCAGATGGGCCTGGCGTTAAAATGGTGCCCGCCCTTCTGTGACGAGGCTGCCCCTCTGAGAAAGGGAAGCTTCCACCGGGCGGGGGAGGCCCTGGCATGGAGGGCTCTGACCAGCGGTTGGTGCTGGGCATGAACATGGGCGATGGGCGGCAGACACCTCCTGGGGAGCTGCGGACACCCACGGACGAGGGCGAGGAGCCGAGAACACCTGTGCCTGAAGCCGTCTGTGATGGCGGGGGAGACGCGAAGACCCCCCAGCTGAAGGAAGAGGAGGAGGAAGAAGAGCTTGACCCCCGCATCCAGGTGAGAGAAGGCTAGATCTTTCTTCCTGACGGGCAGCCCTGGCATCATTCCCCTCATTGGCAGGCGCATTCCAGGGTGCAAGGCCTGCTCCAGCCCAAGGAGTAGCCTTCACTTCTGTAAAGTCCTTGTGGGCTGCTTTTCAGTGGTGGGTGGATTGAAGTGCGCAGGGTCGAAATATTCCACATACCCGCCTGTGGAGCTTATGGCTCTCAATGGCAGTGACTAACCCTTTGGAGATGCCGCTCAACCCCTAAGACCAGGAGAGCAAGAGACTGACCGGTGGCTGGGGGCCTCCCGAGGAACCTGAGTCCAGAGGTGTCCTGCAGGCTTGAGGCTCTGCCCCACACCGTATACAAAGCGGATACGTCTGGCTGAACGGCTCCGGTTTTCCCCATGGAAAGCCATAAAGATGGCTGACAGACCAGTGAGTCATAGAACATCCTAGTGAGTTGGGGGACAGGTTTGGTCTCGGGGCTAGTTGCCAGGATGTTGTGAGGAAAAGCAACATTATTGGAGCTTATTGTTGGTCAGCTCCATTGGTCTGAGTCTGGCATCCATATGTTGGGCCACCCTTGCTGGGCAACCCAACATTGTACAGTCACCTGGACCACAGCACCTCTCTTGGAAGAGGTGTGGTGCAGCAACCGTGTAGAAAAAAAGTGACTCCACTTCTGTTACAGTCTTTGCAAGATTGGGAGTTCACCTGGGAACCCCCATTCACACTGCTCGAGGAAGAAGAATGAGATCAAAAATGCTGTACCTTTAGGTTGCAGTCCTTAGATGTTTATACAAAAAATGCTACACAATTCCCAGCATTCCCGAGCCTGGAAGTTCCTAGCCCTTGTGGTTTTGTAGAAAAAATGAAATCCTATTTTACTAATTTGATTAAATAAGAGAAGATCTCATATGGAGTTCTCTGATGTGCCCGTGGGCCCTTTTCTAGAGTCTGTGAGGTGCTGTTATTAGTACTATAGAAAAGCCCATTTATTCAACTCATTTGCACTTGTATATGGATTGTTGCAAACCACCTAGAGAGCCTCAGCAGTGGAACAGTATAAAAATGAAATACTACTACTAATATTAATATTTCTATACCATCCCGTGGGCAGATTATAAAATTAAGAACCTTAACAAAACAGTGTTGTAGGTAATATGAAAACCATTTATATACAGGTATATAAAGGCAACACACTCAAACGTATGCATAAACAGTTTTAACAGACGATAAGCTTTCCTTGGAACCAGTTAGAAACCTTATATACTCGACTGCCTGAGAGTAGAGCCAGGTGACTGAAAAGATGGCAGTGCCTGCATGAGGCAGGTCTCACTGGGCAGATTGTTTCATAAGCAGGGGCCACCAGCGAGGAGGCCCTCTCCCTTGTGGCCACCTTCCAGGCCTCCCTCCAAAGGACTGCTTAGCAGCAGGTGCCACATCTGTTCAGATGTGAGAAATGTTGCCATCTAAGCGGGGGGGGAGGGGGAGTCTGTGTCCCCACCCCACCCTGAGGCCTTTCTGCTGTTTAAAGCCATTGCAGAGAAGGAGAAAGTGGTGCTGTGCTGGTGCTGAGCCCCCTCCTCCCCTGCACGCCTTGCAGTGTCTTCAGCTGCCAGGAGCTCCATGTGGCCATCTCAGGCGGGGGCTGTTGGGTAGAGGAAGGATCCCAGGGAGGGTCATTTCATGCTGCATTTTTACCCGTTGGTTGTGCAGTGCCTCAGAGAGCAGCAGGGGTGGAAGGAAGGGCTGCACGTGTCTTAAATGGAATGAATGAGGCGGCTTTGTAGCTTTGATCATACTCTGAGTAGGAGCGGGATGGACACTGGGAGCCCGGCTGTATTCTTCCCCACCCGCTGACTTCTAAAATTAATTTGGAACCTTGCATGGAAGCAGAATGGAATATATCTGGCAATCAGCTGTATGTTATTTTCCATCACTTGCTCCAAGAAGTAGAGGGTTCTCCCTGTGTGACTCTGACTTCCTGTGTGCACACAAATGCACGTGACCCTCCCTGTTGACGGGCAGGCTGTGAAAGAGTTTGGGGTGCCCACTGTCCAAATGGGCACCGGTGCAGAGTGCAGCATTCAGGAGGTGCCTGTCTCTCTCACCGCAGGAGGAGCTGGAACACCTCAATCAAGCTAACGAGGAGATCAACCTTGTGGAGCTGCAGCTGGATGTGAGTCAGAGCAAGTTCCCTTGTGTTTCCCCTTCCTTCTGAACACTTCCCTCCTTCTGCCCCTCCGGTCTTCTGCTTGATACGCCAGTGCAGCCATTCCCAGTGCAGCACCCTCTGGATGTGTGGGAGTACAGCTTCCATCATCCGCAACCAGCGCGGCCATTTGCCAGGGGCCAGCTGGGAATGATGGGAGTTGCAGCACAGCACAGCAGGGCAGCAGGGCAGAGAACACTGGGTGGTGGGGGTGAAGTGGTGAGCCAGCCCCTGCGGGATGGAAGCGGAATGGCTGCCACGTGCACAGCTCCGCCACGCCACGCCACGCCACGCCACCGCGGCTCTCACTGCCACTTGTACATTTTTTGCAACAGGAAGCTCGTACCACATACAGGAGGATCTTGTCAGAATCTGCCAGGAAGCTGAACGCTCAGGGCTCCCAGCTGGGCAGCTGCATCGAGAAAGCACGCCCGTATTACGAGGCCAGGCGCCTGGCCAAGGAGGTATGTGTGCCGGTGCGCTTGCTCTGCCGCACTGCTGAATCAGTCCTCTTCCCAGCTGCCTGTGAGCAAGATGCTGCGGAGGAGCAGAGCCTGGATTCAGGATTGGTTTCCCTAACCCATTTCTTGCACTTGCAGAGTCACAAGTACCTATCAAGGCTCGGTGGAGATGATCCGGATGTAATCATCTCTGTTTGCATAGGCAAGAAATTCTGAATCCCTTAAGCCCCACGCTTCCCTTGTTGACCATATTTTTGGTCATTTTGGGGTCATTTCCTGGTCTCAGAACTCCAACCTGTAGGGGTAAACAACAACTGTGTGATTTTGTGTGCTGTGGATTTTTAAAAATTTATACCTTGGCGCTCTGGGGCAGCAGACCCCAGCTTCATGTCCCCAAAATTCCCGTCATCTACGGCCATTCACCTTTTCGGCTAGGGCAGTGTGAGTTACAGTCCAACAATATCTGAGGACCCAGGCTTGGGAACCACTGCTCAAGGGATCCATGGGGTGCTATAAAAATAAAAACCAGGTAGGTATTTTTTTAATGCAGAAAATATAAAATTTGCATTTCTACTAAAATGTTAGGAGTCCAGCTGGATCCACCTCCTTTCGGTTAGAAGAGAGCCATTGAGCTTGTTGGGATTATTAGATTCTCTTTCCACTCAGCTCATCCTCTGCCTGATTGTGTGTAACTGGAGGTTGGAATGGGCTTGGCATGCTCCTGCCCCAGGATGAGCAGGCCTTAAGCTGTTTGCTGAACCATTTTGAGGGCTGGGTTGGGTCGCAAAGCCTTTTTGGAAGGGGTTTGGTTTTCGAGCCGGCTTTTGGCAGGTGACAAGGACTGCCATGCCCTTCCGATTACCTGTGAGAAATCTGGAAATCTCTGTGGTCACCAAGCAACAGCAACATGAGATCCTGCTGCAACTTTAAAGGGCCAGACATCCCCTGTCCGGAGAAGGGCTGAGATGGATACTGTCTGCAGTATCCCCACAGAATGGAGCTTTCTGCATGACACAACTTATGAGCAGCCCCTCTTAAACCCCCTTAATCTGTCTGCAGGAAGCTTGTTTGGGAGGATGGGAAGCGACAAGATGCCATCCTCTTGCGCACAGTCTGAAAGCACGCAGCTCAGCAAGAGCTCTTGATCGCGCATTTCAAGTTTCAGAATCCTTTCTCTGTTTCACCTTCTAGAAAAGCATGTGTATGGGGGCGGGGGGAGGCATGGTAAGGGGGAAAGGAGAGTGTGGCAGGAAACAACAGCCTCCTGACCCATTTTGCCAGCTGCGTGCAGGGCATGTTGATGTCCGTGTTACTTGAACGCGTTTCCCTCCCTCCATCCTGGCAGGCGCAGCAGGAGACCCAGAAGGCTGCCCTGCGGTACGAGCGGGCTGTCAGCATGCACAACGCGGCCCGTGAGATGGTCTTTGTGGCTGAGCAGGGAGTCATGGCTGACAAGAACCGGCTTGATCCCACGTGGCAGGAGATGCTCAACCATGCAACGTGCAAGGTGAAGTTCCTCTTCCGGGAGGTGATCTGGCAGAGCTTATGGTACTGCCCTCTCTCCAGCAGGCGGAGGATGAGTCCGTCAGAGGCTGCAGGGAATATGGGAGGACTGGACAAGGACGATCTGGGTACAAACTTAACAGTCTCAGTCCAAAGGTTGTGGCTCAAATCTCCACAGAGGATGTCGGCATGTTCAAGTGAGGCTACCAGATGATTGGGGCCGGTCTCAAATCCTGCTCAACTTCCTGGCTGGCCTGGGGTCACCTGGCTCCTCTTGATCTCCCTTTTTACTATTCTTTGCTGATCATCAGCAGAGAGGAAGAGAGTTTGCAATCAGGCCTTAAGAATAGTGTAGCAGAGAAAGAATAGCACGATTGCGTCTTCCTGGCTCTGACTTTGGCATTTATTGTCTGGCCCACCAGCACTTGCTCACGTGCTCTCTAAGTGGCTGTTCCCTCACTTTCCCTCCTCCACACCCTTTCATCTGTTTGGTGATGGCGGTGAGTGGCCCAGAACAGTCCACATGAGAGATGATTACCAGCTGGCCTGCACACCTAACCAAGCCCGCCAACACTCAGCATCCCGTCTACCTCGTCTTTCTTCAAAGGATGGATCTTGGCTACCAAGTTCCACCTTCTGGGGAAATCTCCGCAGGAACCTCCAGTGTAAGATGGGACAGGACAGCAGGGATTCCCATGTGCCTCTCCCAGCCGCTCTCCCAGCCCCCACTCAGCATGGGGAAAGGCAGAACGCGGTCAGGTTGGGACGACAACCTCTGTGGGCTTGGCTGGGCCCTCTGACTTCATCCAGCCCATGGAAGGCCTGGCTGGCAGTTTGGTTCTGTATGACTGCTGTATTTCTGCATCCACATTTGCCTAGCGTATTGCATGTGTGCGTGCAGGTCTTCAGCTACTGGATCGTGCAGCTGCATAGGGGAGGTGATGGCTGGTGCAGGAGGTCAGAGAATAGCCTGGCAGATGGTTGGAGCTGGAGGTGTGGTGCATCCATCTTGCCAACAATCCCTGGAAAACACGCCCAGTTACTTGCTCATTTCAGCAGCTTGACTGCGTCATGTCGCTGGTTTTCAGAGCCGCTGGACAAGCAGAGAGACGTTGCTTTGTAAATGCAAGTTGGGAGGCTGAGCATTGTGTGCAGGGGCAGCTGGACTGTGGGACCCATGTTACTTTTAGCCCCACTAGCACTTCAGGACCCCTTTGCTGCTGGAGGCCATGTGGCTGGAGACAGCCCGGAGGACTGAGAGGTGGTGCTCCCCGTGGGCTCGTGGGAGGCGGGGACAGAGAGCATCCTCTCCTGACTTGGCCTCTTCCCCCCCTGCAGGTGAATGAGGCTGAGGAGGAGCGGCTGCGCAGTGAACGGGAGCACCAGCGTGTCACCCAGCTCTGCCAGCAGGCTGAGGCCAAGGTGCAGTCCCTGCAGAAGTCCTTGAAGCGCGTCATCGTGAAGAGCAAGCCCTACTTTGAGCTGAAGGCTCAGTTTAACCAAATCCTCGAGGTGAGGCCTCTGACTCCACGCTGATTCCCAGAAGCTTAACCCACCCAAGGCGGGGGTGGGGGGGTGAAGCTCACTGCAGAGGGGTCCTAAACCTTTGCACAATGGGGAGCAGGGCCCGACCTTTGCATGATGGCTCCACGTTCATTTCCCATCTGGCCCTGAGATCAAACATTGGGACATTGAACTGGTAAATACCTGCATCAGAAATTTGAACCCAGAGTCAGAAAACTATAGGTTTGAAGTTCAAGAACAATCGGAGCTGTTTACATTTCTATTACCACATTTTTGGACAGTTAAAAAAGCAGTAATCTAAGAAATAGGCATGGTAAAACTTTTTAAAACAACCTGAACAACCATCATCATTTACCTAGAAAATAACTCCCAAAATCAAGCATCCCTTTATAGTAAGAAAAAGGATATAAAATACTCTTATAAAGACATTTCCTAAGTATGTTTTTTGACATCTGGTAGAGCAGGCATTGTTTCACAAGGTACTTTCCCAGAGTGAAACCATCTTTAGCTATTCACGCTCACCTAAAAATCCAGCCCGGGAACTCAGTTGTCCAGAATTCAAAGTGCAGAGAATTTTGAATTCTAAGTTAAAGTAGCAGTGGAGTGGTGGAGCCAGGCATCCGTTCGCGTGGGCCGGTCTCTCCGCTTCCACTTCCCTCCCTCCTGCCACATCCTCCTGGGTGCGAAATGCCATGGTGTGCCTTCCCTGGTGCAAGCAAGGCCTGTCGTCCTCTACCCCCGGAAGCAGGGCTGGTGACCCTGTGGCCCACGGGCTGAATCTGGCCTGCACCCCTCCCCTCCCCTCTCCTGGGAGCCCTGCTTTCCCAGAACAAAGCGGGAGAACAACTGAGGCACCCTCTCAGCTAGCTTCAGTTCTCGACTGGGAAGTGACTTGGCTCCTCCCCACATGACGTCGGTGGGGGTTTTTTTCCCCGTGCCTCCCTCTGCATGCCGAAAAACTGGGGTGGATGATGTCAGGGGTGCTGTCTCCTGAGATCGTGGTGCCAGTGGGCGGCTCTCAAATACAGTCAGTCAATAACTAGAATGATAAATAGCCCAGACCTCTGCATTGGTCTCAGGTGCCACCCCTGCTCTCAAGCACCACACATTTTGATGGTACAGCGTTGGCCGATTATGCTGATCGAGTCCCTGCCCTCCTCTTCCGTGCAGGAGCACAAGGCCAGGGTAACGTCCCTGGAGCAGCAGGTAGCCCAAGCCAAGATGCGCTACTCCGTGGCCTTGCGCAACCTGGAGCAGATCAGCGAGCAGATCCATGCCCGGCGGCTCCAGCGCCTGGTGGGCCGGCGGGCATCCCCAGTAGGTGCCGAGGCCAGCCCAGCGCTGCTTTACGGCGGGATGGCGCTGCCTCCTGAGCCTGCCGCCTCCGCTGACACCCTCTCGGTGCTCAGCTTCCAGACCATCGCCTCCGACCTGCAGAAGTTCGACTCCGTGGAGCATCTGCTGGGGCTGTCCGACGCTGCCAGCCTGAACAGCGACGAGCTAGAGGAGCGGGAGCAGAGGCGCAATGCTCAGCCGCACCCGTTCAAGCACCATCGCAGCATCAGCCTCTGACGTCCCCCTGCCTGCCGCAGCCCCCTGAAGTCCCGGCCTTCCAGGGAAGGGGGAGGTGGCTAGGATCAGAGGCACGAGGAATAGTCAGGGGGCAGGCAGCTCTTTGAGTGGGTGGGTTATGTAGTGCTTGTGGCCTTGCCCATCCGAAGGGCAGCCTGCCAGTGGATCCTTCCCCCTGGGCGTGGCCTTTGGCAAAACCCCAGTTCCCTGCTCTGTCTCCTGCTGCCATCCAGGCCCCAGTTGCTTGGAAATGTTGGCATTTTGGTCCCACTGTTTTAAGTCCGTCAGGCTGCTGTTTTCCCCCAGCATGCACCTGTTTCCTGGGAGCATTGCATGCTGGAAGTAATTCTGCATCCTTGCATATTTCTCCTAGCTTGTTGGATTATTATTGGTGGTGCTGTCATCTTCAGCTGAAGGGAGGCCAAGAATGGGGAGGAGAGGTGTGCTCTTTTTACATGAATGTCGTTGTGGTTGGGGATTGAGAAGAGCAGATGGGCTGCAGCGGTGCTTGTGTACAGATGCTCCCCTGCTCCTGTCACTGCATCCTAGAGGCCCTCGCTCCGCTTTCATGGAATTGCCCCCATTCTCAAGGCTGTACAAGATGGCCTTTTTAAATGGAACTCCGGTGCCCCCTGCAGGACTTTCTTGACACTACAGTATAACAGGAGGCATGCCATTTGTCCCTCCCAGGCCTGCTTGGTTCATCCCGTTTGGCCACCCATGCTTCTTGGGGTGTGATTTGCACTAATAAGTGTCAAAATGTGGGGCTGGGAAGTCTCTCCCTCTGTCTGCTCCCAGCATTTTGCAGACAGTGGCAATTCCTGCCTCAAACAGGTTTGCTGGACACTGGCTGTGATGAGAACTGGTCATAGGTTCGAGGCAGCCTGATAGCAACTCTGTGTATGTGTATTTGTATGACCGGCTTCTGCTGTGTATTTTATTTAAAGTAAAGTTTATGCCCTCTGGACTGTCTTTGTTCTCAGTCCTTCTCTCTCGCTCTGTCTTTGGCCAAGCAAATCAAAGGCACAGTGTGTTTTCCTTCAGGCAGTGTTTCTGACCATGGTATCGGGACTCCCTAGGGAGGAGCAGGGTGTGAAACTGTGACCCTTTGTAGTCTTTGCCTAATGATTTCCATGTGTGTTGAGCAAACCACAAACTGGTGAGGAGGACCCTTTCCTTGGCAGAACCTGAGCAGGATCAAGAAGGCATAATCCCAAATGAAATGGCCCCAGCTAGAGAGAGAGAGAGCCAGTGTGCCCCTCACTCCTTTCCAGCCTTCATCTTGAATCATTTCTTGGGTCATTTGTTTTTCACTTTTTCAGTTTTTTAGTCCATTCCCAACCCAGTGCCCTCCAGATTTGTTGGACTACAATTCCCAGTATGCCCCACTTAACCATGCTAAGAGTTGTAGTCGCAACACATCTGGAAGACACCAAGTTGGGGAAGGCAGCTACAGTTCATCCTGCTTGTTTTTGTATTCATGAGCGATCATTCCCGTAAAGAAGAGGCTCGGACCAGAATCTCATCAGAGGCTACTCGCAGCAAGACTAATATAATTAGTCAAATTTTATTTCTGATCCACCCCTCTGAACAGGTAATTGCGTCACACAGAACTGAACTGGGAGGCATATTGCAGGGGCTATGAATCTGGGGTGGCCAAAAGACAGTCAGGACCCCTGGGAGGTCAGCAGAGCATTCTGACTCCCAAGGGCACCAATAAATTTACTTGTTGGACAAAAACCAGCAGTGGATTTGGGTGGAAGTATTGGGACTGCTGTTCACTTCTGCTACTTGAAATATTTCTTGGCTTTGAATTCTTTAATCCTAGGGGTATATCCTTTGCACCAAATAGCCAGATATCAGGTTTCTAGTAGCCTCAACAAAGCAAGTCTTCCAAGCCTTAAGTCTGCCTATTTCTGCCATAAATTAGAGGTAGGACATGTGCTTTATATGTGGAATTTCCCAGGTTCAGCTTCTGCCATCTCCAGATTCTTTTTTCTTTTGAAGGTCAAGTTGGGAATTACTTGTGACTGAGGTTGTGGCAAGCTGCTACCATCCCAAGCCTTCCAAACTTTGGTTTCCTTCAGGTATTTTGGCTGTCCAGTACCATAAGCTTGAGCCAACATAGCCACTGGTCAGAAATGGTGGGAGTTGTAGTCTAAAATACCTGGAAGGCACCAGTATAGGAAAGGCTGACACACATCAGCTTCACAACAGCTTTGTAACTCAAGATTAGAGGTAGGAACAGGGCTTATCTCAAGCAGCAGTAAGGATAAACCCCCAAAAAGCCTGCCATTGGTTTTTGGGTTTGGGTTTGGCTTGTTTGTTTTTTTGGAAGAGGGTGGTTCATAATCCCAACAAGGTAATCAAGTGAATTGTTACCAAGGAGCCAGAATAACCTCAGATTACCAAGTCCCTGGGCTTGTCTATAGTATGCTCAAAGCAGCTTCCAGCAAACCAATTAACAAAAACAGGTTTTAACAGATCTCAAAAATTTGGTGTTTGCCATAAGTTGGCATGTAAAGTGACCAGATGCCTTACCTTACAGAAGAGTTTTCTGTTTAAAGGCATCTTGTTTGGAGGCCTGTCCAGTCCGAGACTAATTTCAAGATAAAGAACCACAGGGAGGGAGTGCAAGGTGGCACCTTAAACTTACCCATCAGCAAGAAGCACCTAGATAGTAGCTTGAGCAGGTACACAGGTCTCTTTATCAGTCTTGTCCACTAGGGTGAGATGCACTGCATTTCTGTTTGAAAGATAATTATTGTTTCTAAATCTGCACCCACACATACAGACTGGCATATGCACTTGCTCTGGTGATGTTTAAGCAGCCACCCTCAAAAGGGATTAGCCAGCCTCCAGGAGGCCCAGAACTGCTGCTGATGACAACCCTGCGAAACTGGCTGCATTTAGCATGAGGAAAAAACATTGTGCCAGGTGCACGTGCATGTGTGCGCACACACACGCGCGCACACACTTAGCCTTTATTGAAAGCCCACTTTCCATTATCCCCACAAAAGGAATATAAGTCCACACTGATGGTATAGTGAACTTTCAATGTTAATCCTTGGTTGTCTGAAGAAAAATAATAATAAATATGCACAAAAATTCAATCCATTGCATACCCATATAAGCACACTGCTCAACAAAGCAATAGAATGACAGTTCCAAGCTGATTTAGGAGTACAGACAATTAGAGAAAGAGTTACAAAACCAAAGACACATATACAAGAAAGTATAGAGATCCTGATATAACAACAGTTATTTGCCTCCTGATACTGAAGCATTGAACAGCTGAGCTTCCTAGGGTTGCTTTTACAGATGGGGAGGGCTCTTGAATTCTGGCTTTCACTTTGTGCGAGTGGATATTTGTCCACCATTTTAATCCCCATGTCTGATATTTAGGTGAGCTCAGCCCTTAAAGATCCTTTACTTGTACTTTCAGTCCAACCAGGGGCACCATTATGAACAAAGAAGTGAAACTTTCATTTTACACATGCAGACTGGAAGAGGGCAAGGATGCAACAAAGAGGCCAGGATTTTTCCTTGAGGACATTGTTCTAGCCTATTTACATGTTAATCCATAGTTCCTTTGGACAGGGCATTTTCCTTAGGGGTGAAGCAACAATTCATAGCAATAATTACAATGCACGCGCACACACATATTTAGTTGTTTGGTTTGTCCCATAATAGCTTGAAATAAACCCAATAACAAGGGCCACTTCCATGATACAAAGACACACGCTGACAGAGCATTGCTTGGCTGCCACCCCTAACCTATTCACATTCCACTATGTTAGAGTCCATATTCATCTTTTGCTTTCACAGGCTGGATGCGGGGGTCGGAGTGTTGTAGTTTTCTCTCTATCTCTTCATACCAAAGGAATGGGGCCTTTAAATAAGAGCAATCTGAGACTCAGATATTCCCAGCATGCTCTGGGGCAAATGGCTCCTTCTTGCAGTCCCTGGGCGGGTGGTGCTTTGTGGAAGGAAGACTCCCCGTCTCTCTCTCTCTCTCTCTCACACACACACACACACACACACACACACACACACACACTTCTACTTTTGAAGCATTTTTAAAAGCACTGTAAACTGCTACAGTTAAAAAAAAAGAAAAAGAATGATGAATGCCTCCAAAAGTTCAATGTAGGAGATTGCCTGAACAAAGAAAAGCATGTGCAAAATGACCACTCACTTTCGCCTGACTGTCTAATCTCACTGTGAGTCCGTGCAATCAATGGAGCAGCAGGTTCAACTGCAGCAGCAGCTGAGAGATTTCAGAGGAGAGGCAAATGAATTTAAGGTTCCTTGATGTGGATGGGGAAAATTATGGCTGGAGAGTACAGAGAGTCCCTTATTCCTTCACGCTTAACTCCCAGCCTTTGGGGACAAAGTAAAGGGTAAGAGAAGTGGAGGGAAAGCAGGTGTCAACCACACAGGGACACTGGTTAATGCAAACTCCCCCCTCCTCCCAATTCAAGGGCAACTGGCAGTCACTAGATTTAGGATGCTGCCATAGGTTTTCTCATCCATAACATCATCTGTCAGATAATACATAAACAGAAAATGAACCTCTTTCCACCCCATGTCTCCATTTCATGCAACTCACCCACATGAAACCTTTGAATCCTCCCCACATCAAGTGGATGTTTATCAAATTAGAGAGCTTTCTTGTAGAAGCTCAGGCTATTCGTCTGTCTGGTCCAGAATTATGTACTCCAGTGCAGTGGCTCTTGGGAGGCTCACAGGGAGACATTTTTGCAACAACCCGATCCTCTTTTCAGTAGTGATTCCCTGGATGGAAAATGACACCATCCACATAAAAAGCATGTATAACCAAGCTGTAGTCCTTCCCCAACTGTGCACTGCTCATGTGTCACATAATCCGGAACATGACCTGATCCTGGTTCCAAGTTAAGACACCAAGAGAAGGCAGGAGAGAGAGAAAGGAATCAAAGGAGCGTGACATCCACACAGGGCCCCCTAACAGCCGTATGGCAAGGAGAGACGAGCTCAGGATCCAAGCTTCGTGTTTTCCAGGTTGGCTCTGGAGTTTGACTGGCAGTTATCAGCAGGTTTATACTGGATGTCCCAAAGGGTGTGTGAGCATACGAGAATTCATCTCTGAATCACAGCAAAATGAAGTCAGTTGTTAAGCTGAGGTGAAGCAGGGAAAAAGCAAGACTCAGGTCCAGAGTGGCCCATGTCTTTCTTAAGAGGCTTCCAAGGAAAGTGATGAAACACAGAGGATGTCCAAAAAAGTGGGGGTCCTGTTCACCTCTAGCATCATCCATTCCAAGGGTACTCAACCTTTTTGACCCTGTGGGTACATTTCTCAAACTGCTGGGGGCACCCCCACAAAATGGCTGCCATGGAGGATTTGGCTAGTTACAAAATGGCTACCGTGGGGGCCTGGCAACTCAAGAGTGAATTGCGCCTCCCCTCACCCCGTGTGTGTGTGTGTGTGTGTGTGTGTGTGTGTGTGTAAAGGCCAAAGGGAGGGAGGGGAAATTGTAAAGAAAAGAGGTAGAGGGCAGAGAAACACCAAGACTAGAAACAAGAAAGGGAAGAAAATACCACCTTAACATTTTGTAATTAACAATATCTCTGCTCCAGCACCTGCTTTTTTGTTACATGTGAGAAGTGAGGAAGAAGGCCTGCTTGGCAATATTACTGCCTCTGGGGAGGGTGAAGCTCTGTGAGGCCACATTCTGCTCATGAGTGGGGTAAAATGACAGAAATATCACTGTTTTAACATAAAGATCTTATTACTAGTAAATAAGTCTTAGGAGATTGGTTACAACTTGTTTAGGTTGAGAGTAAAGATGCCACCAAGATGGAATCCCATCTGTGGTTGGTGGGAAGGGGTGAGGTCAAAGGAGTGGGGTATGGCCAACTAGGGGGTTCCAGAGGACCAGATTGGGATTCCAGGAGGAGAAGATTTGGCTCTCGGGCCTGAGGTTCCCCAGCTCTAGTAACTGCACAATAACCATACATGGCACCACACAAAATTGCTTCTTCCAAGTATCAGGGTGTATTGTAGACGTGATCACAGTAACTCTTCCTACATACTTGGGACACATCACAAGAAGGCAAGACTCACTGGAGAAGACAATCATGCTAGGGAAAGTCGAAGGCAGAAAATGAAAGGGAAGACCAAATATGAGATGGATTGACTCCACAAAGGAAGCCAAAGGAAGCCACAGTCCTGAACTTGAAAGAGCTGAATGGAGCTGAATTCACAGGGCTGACACAGGCTGGAGATAACTTGACGGCATATAAACAACAACAAAAAGCAATCCTCTAAGGTAGGTTAATATTATGACAGAGGAGAAATGAGGATGAGGCAGCAAAATGCCTCAGGCCAGACAACATTTTCCAGGCTGAACTTCCAGCTTGCAAATCCTGTTTACAAGTACAGTGCTACAGTTGGGCAACATAAACCAGAAAGAGCTGCCCTGTTAAAAATTCGGTTCCATACACCACTATTAAGGTAGCAGAGCTGCTGCCTCTTTTGTATGTGATTCCCACAGTGCTCCAAGAAGAAAGTATTCTGGATGATCTGGGTATAGTGCATCAAAACAATTTTCATCAAAAATGTGCATGTATACATTGAATTTATACCTGCTATTAGCATGTGCCTGGCCATTTGCAGACTTGCATGGATGCAAGAGGATCCCACAACTCTTCCTAAAGAGAGGTGAATTTTGTATTTTGCAGAAGTCTCTACTCTGGGACCAAAAGGCTAACCACACTTAAAATATACTATAATCCTGCACTGAGCAGGGAGGGGGTTGGATCCTCTGGCCCCCTCCAACTCTACTGTTCTATTATTTTATGTAATTGGCTCTAAATGTGAGCATGTGGTTTCAAAACTGCTTAGCAAAACCAGAATTTTCCAGTTTATTTTACAAACATTTGTTGGGAGGGCATCCTTCTGGTCCTATGAAAATTGTAGAACTCTTTCAATTTACTTAAAGCACAATCTTATATCTGTTGAGACCCAAAACTGTCTCACATGCTTACCCCCAAGTCCGTTTATGTGGTACTAAGCTCATGGAACACTATGGGGCTTGTTTCTGGATAAACCTGCACAGATAGCTATGTTAGCATATGTAGGATTTTATTTAGGAAAAACTACCTTTAGGAGAATCTCCGCCTAAAGTGCAGTCATGCCTGACTCTAGGGGGCGGTGCTCATCTTCGTTTCCTAGCTGAGGGAGCCAGTGTTTGTCCACAGACAGTTTGTTGCCGGCATGACTAAACACCAAAGTGCATGGAACCCTGTTACCTGCCCACCGAAGAGGCACCTTTTCATCTACTTGCATTTGCATGCTTTCGAACTGCAAGGTTGGCAGGAGCTGGGACGGAGCAATGGAAGCTCACCCCATTGTGCAAATTCGAACTGGCGACCTTTTGATAAACCAGCCCAGCAGCACAGCAGTTTAAACCACAGCGCCACCTGCATCCCATGGATATGGATATGATAGAGGTATATAAATTCTGTGCAATGTGAAAAAGTGATGCATTTTCCCCCCTCACAACACTGGACACTGATTAGCAGCAGATTCAAAGAGAAGCAGCATACAGTTCAGAACTAAATTATGAAATTTACTGTCTCATGATGTGGTGATGGTCCCGGTTTAAATAGTTTTACTATCCTTTGCCTCCTTCATGAACTCGCTCTCTCAACCTTGAACAAGAATTGAGAAGCAGAGAGTTAGGGGAAGCTCAAGAAAACAAGAATGAAAATCATGACAGAAGGGCTGTATGTGCTAGGCCAGCCACAGAAGCTGTTGCCCATAAATGCTACAACACAAGCATTATGTCTGAACAACAATGGAGAGACTCTTGACTGTTTGAGAGCAAAAGATTTGCACGAAAGCAAGGTCAAGGGCAGCTAGGAGAATCTCTGCCTTTTCCCACATTCTGAGGTAAGGGGAATCCCCCCAGCTGATACTCTGTACTGTAATTTACACATAAGTTGTCCAACCAACTTGTTCATTTAAGATATTGTCACAAAGTGCCTATTTTAAAATGCTCTCAAATTTCAGCTTCCTATCTTTCCCTTGGTTTTTTTTTTAATAAAGCAAAAACATCTGGGGCACAAAAGTACCCCAAAATCGCCATAGGAAGATGTGCATTTGTTTCTCAAAAATAGGTACTCAGAAAGGTTTGATATAGATCCTCTTGGTCTCATTTTAAAGCTAAGATTCTTAGCTAAACTCTCCAGCAAACAAAATTAAAATCTATCCAGGGAAAGCTGGTCTATGATTTTTTTAAAAGATTAGTAGGCCAAACTTTTGCTATGCAAAAAAGTCAGTGGACCTGGCACTGTTATGCAGAGTTTCTCATTTTTCAGGGCCTCAGGTAGAATTAAACCTGAAATTACCTTTACTTGCTGATAGCTTTAAGCCATTCTTATGTTGATTGCAGTTGCAAGGGAAAATTCAGCCAGAATAAAGGTTTTTCAGATTCAGCATTTTCTTGCCTCAGGAACTTTCTACTGGGGTCAAAAATGATCCATTAATATAGCTGCAAGGTTTTTGGTTTATCTAAACCAAGATAACCAATTTAGCCCTGTTATGTTAATGAGCCAAGCGATACAGGAGAAGATACAGAAACTGGCAGTTTGCAAGGACAAATGCTACAGGCATGGTGAATCACAGTACGGAAATGAAAAGATAGAAGGGAACAGTAAGGTTGTAAAATAAAAACAAGAAAGCATAAAGGAGAAAATTTATCCAATGAAAGAACATGAAAAAACAGAGGCTGGATTCAGATTTAGTCACAGTTAGAGGAGACTCACCGAAATCAGTAAGACTTAAGTTAGCATTGATTAACTGAAGTTCCTCACATTTCAGTGGGTCTGTTCAAAGTAGGTTAAATACTTTGGCCACCTAATGAGAAGGACTCACTGGAGAAGACCCTGATGCTGGGAACAATAGATGGCAAAAGAAGAAGGGGATGCAGAGAATGAGGTGGCTGGATGGAGACACTGAAGCAGTTGGTGTGAGCTTGGGTGGACTCCGGGGGATGGTGGAGGACAGGAAGACCTGGAGGAGTGTTGTCCATGGGGTCACGATGGGTCTGACAGGACTTTGCAACTAACAACAGCATTCAAAGTATGACTAAGACCCAACTTGCATGCCACAAATGTTTTTTTGTTTTTGTTTTTGTTTAAATTTCTACCCCTGGGTTGTTCAGCATTGCATCCAATCCTGGATCTTTGCCTTTTTTCTCTCCCAGCCAGCTAGAGAAATAACCCTAGCACAAGCCTTGGGTTCTTTATATGGTTTGCTTGCAGGGAGACAAGCCAGCTTCAAGTGCAACACGAAGCAGTCCAGGACAGTTGTTCCCACCTGCAGCAAGCAGTAGCACAACTGCCTCATGCATGGCCACCCGTAATTGAAATGAATGCATTTCCATGAGGTATGACCTGGGCCTAAGTGTGGATGCAACCTCAGGGGTAGAGCAAGAAAAACAGGCTGGAGAGAAGAAAAAGAAGTCTGGAAAGGAAGTCTGGAAGGGAAGAAGTCTGATTACCAAGCCAGACACCGGAAGCTTGGGGAAACAATGGCAAGGAACATAAGATGACCCTACTGGGTCAGAGCAAAGGTCTATCTAGCCCAAAATCCATTTTCCCACGATGGCTGGCCAGGTGCCTTCAGGAAGCCTACAAGCAGGGCAGGCAGGCAATGCAGAGGGCATAACATGGCCAGTTCAGCAGGAATGCAGAAGAGGAAGGCCAAAACAGGACTATGTCCCATGGGCTCTGTAGAAGGAAAGAGTTTTCGAGTGAGAGGGAAGGGCAGTGGCAGGACAATGGAACCAATTTTGGCCAGGTGGTCAAATTCCATTATGGAGAAGCCACTGAGGGCTGTGTTCCAGCGGTGAGCACATGTGGGACCAACACGCCAAAGACACCAGTGTAATTCAAAGTTCTTACTGCCTTTGGAATGGCGTTTCCACCTTTTAAAATGGGAGGAAAGAGCTGTACAAATGCTTGCTGGTTGGTGGAAAGAGGATGAGGTTTGAGGAAGGGGGTGGTCTTCTGAGGACTTGCAGATTCCTGGACTGGACCCACCAGAGGGTCTGAGGTTCTGCACCCTTGGGGTAGGGGTTTGGGAGCAAAAAAAGGGGCTAGTTTATCAAAGACTGGGCCTGGGCAGTGGATGGGGCAGGAGAAAGGAAGGATGAGTGAGGGAAGCCCCGGGATGGGAAAGACAGGGTCCAGGGCAGGTCCAAAGAAGGGATGGGGAGGGGGGAGGGGGAAGACGGGAAGGAGGACAGCATAGGGAGGGGGCCAGGGGACGCGAAGGAGGCCGAGAAGGCCGAGGAGGGCAGCAGGGTCGCAGGCTTGGTGGCGCTGGCAGCGGGCATGGTGGCAGGCGCTGCCCCGGGGCCAGCCAAGGCCTTGTCATTGCCGTGGGTGCGCTGGTGGCGGTTGAGGTGGGAGCTGCGGCTGAAGCATTTGCCGCAGATGCCGCATTTGTAGGGCTTCTCACCGGTGTGGGTGCGCTGGTGGATGGTGAGCTCGGAGCGCTGGATGAAGGCCTTGCCGCACTCGCCGCAGGCGTAGGGCTTCTCGCCCAGGTGGATGCGCTGGTGCTTTATGAGGTTGGAGCTGACGCTGAAGCACTTGCCGCAGGCCTCGCAGCGGTAGGGCTTCTCCCCGGTGTGCATGCGCCAGTGCTTTGTGAGGTCCGACTTCTGGATGAAGCCCTTGCCGCAGTCTCCACACTTGTATGGCTTCTCGCCCAGGTGGGTGCGCTGGTGCTTCAGCAGGTTGGAGCGCACGCTGAAGCTTTTGCCACAGTCCTCGCACTTGTAGGGCTTCTCCCCAGTGTGCATGCGCCGGTGCTTGGCCAGTGCTGAGTTCTGGGCAAAGCACTTCCCGCAGTCCAGGCAAGAGTAGGGCTTCTCCCCCGTCTGGGTGCCTTGGTGGCGCACGCCCTCCCCCCCACCCCTCCCACACTCGCGGCAGGCCGGCCGCCGCCACAGGAAGCTCTTGCCACAGTCACTGCACTTGCAGGGCAGCAAGGACCCACGGCGGCGCCTCCGCCGGGCCCCTGCAAAGCCACAGTCTGTGCAGCGGCACGGAGGGCGCTCAGCACTCCGGTGCACGCGCTGGTGCCGCTCCAAGTGGGAGCTCTGTGAGAAGCCCTTGCCACAGTCGCCACAGCGGTAGGGCTTCTCTCCAGCATGGATGCGGCGGTGTCGGTCCAGGTGGGAACTCCAGGCAAAGCTCTTGCCGCAGTCCTTGCAGGTGTGCGGCTTGGCCGAGTCGTCCGGGTGGCGCGTGCGCCGGTGCTGCAGCAAGGCGCCGTTCAGCCCAAAGCTCTTGTCACAGTCTTTGCACACATAGGGCTTCTCGGCAGCATGGTGGGCACGCCGATGCTTGGACAGCGCTGCATTCTTGTTGAACCCTTTGCCGCAGTCCTCGCACCGATACGGCTTGCTGCTGGCCTTGGTAGCCGGCACAGCTGCCTCCGCCAAGCAACACTTACACGAGTCGGTCACGGGGATGTTGCCAAAGTGCGTGCGCCGGTGGCGGTCAAGGTGAGAGCTCCAGGCAAAAGCTCGGCCGCAGTCCTCGCAGACATAGGGCTTCTCGCCTGTGTGGATGCGCCGGTGGCGCTCCAGGTGAGAGTTCCAGCTGAAGCCCTTGCCGCACTCGTTGCACTTGTAGGGCTTCTCTTCCAGGTGCTGCTTCTGGTGCTTGATGAGGTGGGCCGGGAGGCCGAAGGTCTTGCCGCACACGTTACACTCACAGGGCCGGGCCGGGCCGGCGCTGCTCTCCTTGCCCGCGTGGGTGCGCTGGTGCTGGATGAAGGCAGAGCCGACACTGAAGCTCTTGCCGCACTCGGCACAGCGGTAGGGCTTGGTGCCGGTGTGGCGTCGCTGGTGGGTCACCAGGGTGGAGCTGAGCCGGAAGCACTTGCCACACTCGCTGCACCTGTAGGGCTTCTCCGCGGCAGTGCCGCCATGCAGCCGCTGGCGCCTGCCAAAGCCAAAGCCCTTGCCACAGTCGTGGCACCGGCCAGCATGGCCAAGCAACCCGTGGTGGCCTCGTGGGGAGAACTTCTTGAGGCCACGGTGCGGGACCAGCTTGCCTTGCTTCTTCCCCAGTTGCTTCTTCGGGAGGTCATCCAAGAGTGGCTGTTCTGGGGCTTCATGGTTAGCCTTCTGCTCAGGCTCAAGGGCCTCCCCGGACTTTTCTGGGGGTGGGTCCTGCTGCACCTCCACCTCCTCGATTGTGGTATGTCCTGTGCCATCCTCCTCTCCTCTTCCTCCTCCAACTTGCTGTGGCACCAATTCCTCCTCCTCCTCCTCCTCTTCCTCCTCCTCCCCTCCTTCCTCCTCTTCATTCCCATTCTCATTATAACTCATCATCCCAACATCTGCTGGAATGAGAGAATCCAGTAATTCCTGGGGTCTGGGAAAGGAAACTTGGGAGAAGGGAATTGAAAAGGCTGTCATGGACTGATAGACCTGACATTGCCACTCATTATTCCCTCAAACCACCCTCTGCCCTGCTGACCTACCCCACCTTCTTCTGTTGCTTGAGATGAAGGGTCCACCTAGTTCAGCACTCCCTTACCCTGGTGCCCTCCAGAGGTGCTGAATGCAACGCCCAGGCTGGGTAGGAACTGCAGGAGCCGCCGCAGTCCGATGCACTGGAGAACCCCTGCTCAAGGGAAGGCCGAACTAGGTCACCATCCTATCTTCTGCAGAGGCCTCCAGGAAGTCCCCAAGCGGAGCATAAAGACTCTCCCCTGCTATCAGCCACTGCGATCAGACGCCACCTCGGAACATGGTGGTTCCGGGCCCCCCCATGGCTCCATCCCTGCCAAGTGTGCGCCTGCCATCCCGCACCTGGCCAGTCCTCCCTACTCGCTGCTCCTCTGAACAATCCAGCGGCTGCACAAGGTCCTGGCCAAGGGCCCCTGCCGTAGGCTCAGTCTGTTCATCTCTAAATGGGTTCAGACCACTGTATGGCATACTTTTTAAGCAACTCCCACGGTTAATTCCCACACCTGAGCCTCCTTTTTCTTTTGTGGCCAGGCTGATTGATTGCCAGTCTATTTCAATGCAGCCACAACTAAAAACTTTTACATGTACACAATTGTAATTATTCTAATCTTTTCCAAAATGTGCAGTAGCAAAGAATATATAACAGTATACTAAAGAACAATGTAAACATGTATATTTGCTAAGGAGTACCAGCAGAATTCCATTTCGGCAACATAGTCTTTTTCAAGACAATGTGTGATCAGATTTCCAGTCCTGGGGGAAAAATCTGTTAAGCTCTCAGTGATTTGCTGCCAAGTCAAAATCTTCCTGCTCATTCAGTGATAGCATGAATTCCTCCAATCATCAAAGAACCTTCACCAAATGCCAGCAGTTGGAGTACTTTAATCTAGAGTTCCTCTCCTCTTCCACATACCAAGGACCGAAAGGCAGATTTGAGAAATACGTTTGTAAGTCATCCTGCATGGCTATTTAGAACTGCCCTAGTTTAAAAGACAGCCAATATGGCGTAGCGGTTAAAGTGCTGGACCGACACTTGGGAGTGCCAGGTTCGAAACCCATCTGGCTTTGAATTTCACTGCAGGACTTTGAGCCAGTGGGAACCGTCAGCCTAACCTACCTCACAGGGTTGTCATGAGGTTAAAACAGTAAAAAACCTCCTTGCAGGAAAAAGACAAGATAGACATATAGCAAATAAATAAATACCCGTTATAAATACAGTTGTGTACATACAAAGGCTTTTGGTCGTGGTTGGATTGCACATGAGCACGCCCCTATTCGCATTTAGTTTTGAATCTCGGCCTGCTGCCTCAAGACCACATGGGCAGTCCTGGGTGGCAGGTTTTGTGAGTGTGTCTTCCGAAAGCGACGGAGGCTGCACAGCGGAGGTGCCTGAGAGATTGTGCCCTCTGTGTTCCCAGAGCAACCTGGCAGATCTGGCTCCTCATCTGCAAGCAATTAAAGAGGAACTGCAAAGAAAGGGTAATTGCCTAGCAACCATCAAATCTGTATCCAATTTCCTCCCCCCCCCCATCTCCCCTCCCCTGCTTCCCCTCTGCCTGTGTAATTTTCTTGCCTTTTTTCCTTTGGTCTCTCGGTACCAGAGGGAACCTCAAGTGTGCTTTGCTATTCAGCCCAATCCCTTCACAGGTGGTGTGTTTTTCTTTTGCTGGCAGATGGCCTCTGCAGGGATGGGGATTTTGCTTAGAATCCTGACCTCCTTCAGACCACTGTGTCGTTTTGATTTTCCCCTCAAAGTGTCTACCTTCCGCATGCCCTTTCCAGGCAGATGTGGCTGCTCCTGGGCACAGTTTAGAGGATTATTAGAGGCCGTTTGTGCCGTGCTCTGAGCACTAGTGTGGGGACTGGCCCCCAGCAGATCCTTGCTGTTATCACCTCGCCTGCTCAGCACAGGTGAACGAGGATTCCAGTGAGCAGCTGTGGGAGGAAGGGCCGTTTTCTCTGCCTGGCTTCTGCGGGGGCTGCGGAAGTCAGGAAACCCCTTCCTCTGCGCTAGTGTGGCAACACAGCCGGCTGATGGAGAAAGGATGGGTCACTTGATCCCTCCTCCACCACTCCCTTAGCAGAAGGCTGCTGCTGTTTTTTCACTCGCCCACTAAAAGGCTGGTTGCCTGCATTTCCACGATGGATGCAAAGGTGGGGGTTCCGCTTCCTCCACTGTGTTTAGCTTGGAAACACAGCCTTTTAGCAGGCAGTGAAATTGAAGGTAACCTAGAAATAAGTTTGGATAGATATTTCCTTTTGGTGTGCTGGAGGCTTTTTTGGGCTTATTTATGAGACTTGCACTGCGGTGCTTCCAGCTTCCGCCTGACCACCCAATGCCAGGAAGTGGTGTTGGGGCCCAGATTTGATGTGGGGCCAGTCTATTGCTGTGTGCCATGGCAGTTGTGCCATGGGGCACTGCAGGGCACTATTTTATCCGCTGCGCTGTTTCACATCTACAAGAAACCACTGGAAGAGGTTATCCGGAGGTATGGGCTGAAGTGTCACCAATACCTGGCTCTAGGATCAGCTCCCCAAAGAGGTTCGCCAGGCACCTTCTCTGTATTCTTTTCAGCACCAGGCAAATTCCTTTTTATTCACCCAACATTTTAATTGTTACGATAATTTAAATATTTAATGGTATTTATTACATCTTGTGCAACTGTGCCTTAATGGTTTTAATGGTTTAAGGACTGTGGTCATTGCGTGCTTTTATTGTGGGGCTTTTTTTGTGTTTGATGTGTGGTTTTGACCAATTTATCTCATGTACACTGTTATTATATTATTATATTTGGAACCCGCCCAGAAAGCCATTTTAGCTAAGGGGCAGGATAGAAATCTAATTGAGCCACAGATAAATGTGGATGACCTCTCTGCCTCTATTTTTCATCAAGAACAGGGGAGGCTCTGGATCTGTGCCTGAGCATGGCGAAGGGCCAGCAAACTGAGACTCAGTCCAGGCAAGCTGGAGGTGCTGCTAGTGGGTGGGATCCGCCCAGCTGCATGATAGTCAACCTGTTCTGGATGTGGTTGCTGTGTTGAGCTGCAACTTCCATTATCCCCAGGCTGCATGAGGATGCCAAGCTGGGGAAGATGTTTTGCCCTGCGTGGCAGTGGTTCCTCAGGGTTTCAGATGGACGTCTTTCCTGCCCCTTCATGTAGATCACAAGGACCGAGCCCAGAGCTGATTACATCCAAAGCATGTGCTCTTACCCCTGAGCTACAGCCTTTCCTCTAGGTGGAGAGGTTCCCCTGAAATATGTGAAGGGAAAACTGCACCTCCCCCACAGGGAGCTGCAAAACTCCACATGCATGTCAATTCCACAGCAGGAGAGATGTGTGAAGTTCCCCATCACACATTGCTGAAACCATGAGTCACTTGCACTTCCATTCTGCATCTGCTCACAATTTGCAAAAGCAGCCTCAAAATAGCTGCCCAGAAATTTAGCTGTATCCTGTGCATCCAAGGACCCTGGCTAGAGAGGCCAGATCAAGAGCAACCCTCTCCAATGTGCTGCTCTCCAGATGTTTTGGACTGTGACATCCATCATCCCTGGCCACTGGCTGTGTTGCCTGGGGCTGATGTGAGTTGCGGTCCAAAATTTCTGGAGGGCACCGGATTGGGGCAGGCCGATCAAGAAGAACAAGGAGGAGATCTGAACACCCTCCCGGTTCCTCATTCCACCCCCACCTCCAACCCCACCAGGCTGACTTACCAGGCACTAATCCTCTTCTCCTGTGAGACTCTGCAAAGGCTGTTATCCGGGGCCAGCTGATCGCAATTTCCTCCGCTGTGGGATTTGTGGGAAGAAGAAAGGAGAGGAGAGGATATAATTCAAAAAGAAATTAGTTGCAGTGCCTTGGTCTAACCGAATCCTTCTGCCTCATGTAGGACCGACCTCAGGATCCAAGAGCCAGTCAGTTCTACCCACTGAGTCTTCCATACTGTAGGGCTTTGTGCATGTGTCTGTGTGCACATGTGTGGCTTCTGCCAGCCCAGCAGAAGTCTGATATCGCCCTCAGGACCAGAAGGTTTGTGCCCCCTCGCTCTGTAAGAACATGGAAAGAGCTGCTGGATCAAACCTTTTTTTTCTTTCTGCCAGACACTTCTGGGGAGCCTGCAAGCAAGACAATAACCCTCTACCACCGATGTTGCCTAGAAGCTAGAATTTAATGGTAGAGTGCTTCAGAATATGGAGGCTCCATTTTGTTGCTATGCTGAATCTGTCTTCTTGATAGATCTGTCTTCCATGCCTTTAGAATTCAAGCCAGCCAAGCCAGAGAACTTAGCTACGCTAAGCATAGCTTGATCCATCTGTGTGGGCTTAGCGATTCCCGAGTGATGTATCTAGTTATAGGAAGGAGAGAGAGAGAGATTGAGAAGGAGCCCTTACCCAGAGATATGACATTCTCGTAATTCTCCTGCATGTCGCCTCTGGGATCCAGGATAGCTCCCACTGTGCTTCGCCTGAAAAAGAGGACACAGTCACTCACTCACTATTTGCAGTAGTAACCCGTCCCTTGCTCCTTCCCTCTCCCCATATATACAAGTAAGCCCAGGAGTGTTGTTAGGCATATAAGAGATCCTGGGCCCAGGCCTCCGGGACACAAACCCTCACATGAGCCACCCAGAGAGTGGCATACAAATAAAATCAATCAATCAATCAACTGTTCTGAAAATTTATAAATAATGTCAATTTAGTTAAATTTTTCCAGAGGCAAAGCCAACCAATTAATTTCTCATTCAAACTAACTCAAAATAAATTCTGCAGTTAATTTGTGTCCAGATCATCCTGAACCAATGGGAAAACTGTATTTTTTTTTTTCAAGCTTAATCCCATACAGGGAAAGAGCACTGGGAGTGTGTGGCGGGGGAGGGGGTTGCAGCATGTGGAAAAAGGAGAGTTAACCCTTTCCTCTTCAACTGCAATCCCCTTTAAAAACCACCATCTGCATTAAAAATTCCTGTAACTCCCAGCATTCCTTAGGCAGCGCTACTAGCTGGGGAATGCTGGGAGTTATAGCTTTCTTTTCCCTACCTAAGCATGCATAAGATTGCACCAGAAACTGAGGAGAAAACACCTTTCTATTGGTACCAGTGGATACTGAGAGTTTTGTGAAACAAAGGAGAATAAATTCAGGGCTAAGGTCCTGTGGACCAAGGGTGCCTGTCATCACCCTTTATCAGGGTGTCAGGATGTCATAACTAACCCACCTGGAAATTACATTGCACAATTTCTTCATAAATTGCTTTCACACTTCGTTTTCCTCACTTTCTAAGAAGGTGAAAGCTATGAAGTCTTTATTTAATTCTGATTAATTAGAAGGGCAGTATATACTCAGTTAACTGAACTGCTCCCCCAGGACTTGAAATGTTGGAGGCACTGTCTGGCAGGATAGTAGACCAACAGTAGACAGCCTGGCAATCCCCATCATCCCTGACAACTGGACACACGTAGCTGCGGTTGATGGGAGCTGTAGTCTGAAGCATCTGGGGGGGTACTAGGTTGCTTGCCTCTGGCAGTAGAATGGCCTGGGCAAGACAGTAAAAAGAATCTGCCTTGTAGGTAGGAAAGCAGAATTCAAATTAAACAAACAGATGACATCTAAATAAAAGCAAGCATGTAATGTTGCCTAAACCTCAGCAGAAGCTGCCAAGGGGCAAAGCACCATATAACCAAGATGAAGGTCTCTTACACCAAACTGATCGGTCCCAAGCAATGACCACACGCCGGTCTCGTGTTTAGAGTCACTAAAGCAGACATGGATTCCCATGCCCCCTGTCAGGAAGAAGTGCAAGGAAATCTACCTGTTCACCCCCGCCCCACAACCGATCAAGTGGGACAAGTACATTCAGAGATCAATAATCTTAGTATAAACGAGGCTGAGGCTCTGCAGCCATAAATATGGAAGTAGGCCATTTTTTAAGTGGCATGGTAACATAATCCATAGGGTTAGTGAGTGCAAGCCCTGAACTGGGATGCTCCCTAAAGTAATTCATCTGTAATGGGGGAGGGAGGTTACAGATCACTATTAGATATTTCAAAAAGCCTGCAAGGCACATGCTCGGCATGCCAGAGGTCCCAGGTTCACACCTCATGTAACCCTGTGCAAGCTTAGCCAGAACTAAAGTCCCACTAGCCATGCCTTTAAGGACTTTTTCCTGGCTACACATGCATAGGATTGTGCTCTCGAAGAACCTCTGATAGCGGGACTGAAAATCAGCCGCCTGTGCTTGAGATGCCGCAGACCTGGGCAGCTGCTTCTAGGGAGAACCTCAGCCAGCCAGGCCTGTTGGCTCCAGCTACTGGGGGACCCTTGGGGAAAACATCCCCTTGCTCAGCGACTCTGCCTTCTCATTGCCGTTGGCACCACCTGCTGCAGTTCTTCATCCTCTTCCTCATCAGTGCACCCACTTGCTTGCTTGGCAGGTGGTGAGCCTGCGGGCAAGTGGGTGGAGGAGTCTTCTACTCCTTGCTGTGAGTACCAGTGCCTGGGCCAAGGTGAGCAGCAGGTGAACCAGCAGACTGCAAGAGCGAAAATGGGGAGCAACACACTGGATTTCTGCCAGGGGGTCCCTGATGGTGCCCAGCAGTGCCTAACCCCTTTATGCCACCCTTGGTTGTCTGACCCAATATTAATTTTATTTATTTATGCAATGTATTCATTGCACAAATGTATTTATTTAATGGTGCAGCCTCCTTCAACCTGGTGCCTTCCAAATAGGCTGGGCTACAACTCCCATCATATTGACTGTGCTGACTAGGGGTGATGGATCTTTTAACGTAAGCCATCTAGATTGGGAAAGACTGTAGTGACAGGTTGCTTCAAGTCCCTCCGTCTGGGAGTGTTGGGTTTGTGTTTGAGGAAATTCTTGTTGAAATCCTATTCATGGCTTTGGACATGCGGAAATCTCTCATATCAGCCTACCTTGCAAGGCTGTTGTGAGGATTAAAAACAACACAAAGCTCACCTGCCCGTAAAGAAAGGGTGAATGGGCTACGCATGTGATAAATGGCAACATACTATTGAAGAGTACCACTTTTCCTTTCTCTTACACCTTTCATTGCATGAATTGACGGGACCATTTATTTAATCTAATTTGCACATCCATCCATCCATTGCCATCAGTCGTATTTGCCTTACCCAGTTTTCCTGGACGGCAGGACGCTTTACTGTTGCATAGTGAAGAGTGTGGTCGTTTCTGCTGCAACCGGATCCAGTCCTAAATTAGGAACCCGAGCCGGGGCGTGTCAAGCAACGGAGCGAGAAAGCGGAGTCCGATCCGGAGTCACTCTCTTTCCTGCCCATCCCCAGCACTTTAGCCGAGTTCTCTCTCTTTCCCTCTCTCGTTCTTTAGCGCCTCGATTGTCTGGTGCTCCCGGATCAGGAGTGATTAAATGCCTGCATGCACAATTTGGGATCTCCCTCCCCACCTGAATGCTCGAGCTGCCAGCTCGCAGAGGGACACACTTACAAAATTGCAATCGGTTGCAGACCGGTTTGGTATTGCAAGGACACAGGAAGGGGCTGGAGCAAACCGCTGGAGGTTGGGATCTGATGCTGAGCGGAGAGGAGGGGGAGGCAGGAAGGCGGGGAGGAGGTGGGGGGGCGGAGGATCATAAAGAAAAGAGAGGAGATCAGAAATCGTGGCGGCGGCGGCAGTGGGAAGGGGCTGCCTCTTCGCGATTCGGCTGCAAACAGAATCAAGCTGCCTCCGTTGCAGATTTGCAGCTGGGGAGGGTCCCCCTCCCAGTCCCAAAAGGCTGGAGATCTTATGCTGCGCCAAAACGGCCTTTAATACAGATCTCGAGCCAGGCAAGAGACTTTCTCATTGTTTGAATTGTTCGGATCGGAATCCTAGAGCAGCTTTCCTCACAGCCCCCGGGATCTGCAGATCTGTTTTTGCTCCTCAGCGGGAGAAATCAGGTAAATGCATACACGGTGGAGATCTGTGGAGGGCAGGAAAGTGACCCTGTACAAAAAGACGAGCCTTCCCCCTCCCTCCCGCGGCTTCTTCGGTGAGCTCTGATGGGGAATGGTAGGGGTACGAGAGATCAGCGGTGAAAGAAGCGGGGCGGGGGGCGGGGGGGGGGAGAGACTTCGATCCGGAGTTGCTGCTTTTAAATAATTGACACATGAGCCTGCTAAACTCATACAAAAGAGAGATGCAGTTTACTTGACATCGAACCAAACAATGGTCCAGCCAGCCCTGTGGAGAAGCTTTAAAAGTTTCCCAGATCCCTTCCGAGGCTTGCCAACGAAATTTTAAAAATGCCCTCCAGGCCAATCCTTTGCCTTGCTGGAGTTCCTTTGTCAGGTTACAGCCCTGCTGTTACACACACTCCTCATATTTTTCGTAAAGGCTCCTGGAAAGATTCCGAAAAGGATGTGGATTTGACATTACGCCCTATTAATCCTCAAATCTCTGCTTTTAAAATTACAAGAAATAAAGGCATTCTCCATGTGCTAGCCTTGGAATAGACACATCACTGTTTACAAATGCTGGTCTTGGGTTCCCTTGAGATCTTTCCCTCAGTTTCCTCCATTCTGTGAAATGGGAATAACAGACCAAATGCTGGATCCAGGCTCTGCCTTCTTCAAGCAGAATGGACCTTCCTCAATGGAAGAGAGCCCTGCTCACCTCATTCAGCACGAGCTCCAGGTAGCATTTTCAGGAAGCTGGAGGGGCCGCTGTTGGATGTGGACTTCCACGCCCCATCCTTCCCACAGTACAGTTGATCAGCTCAAATCTGGGTATAATCCACGAAAGAGAATCTGGTTACCCATCCAGAGCACTGATAAGGAGCATTTTTGTAAGGCTGGAGGAATATCCTTAGGCAAACTCCTCCGCGGCAGATTTATGGGATTGTCCAGGGGTTGGCCAATGGTTCTGATGCAGTCCTCCATGTCTTGCCCCACAACATAACCCAATGTAAGGGCAGTGTATCTGGCAGCTATGGCAAGTCACTGTCCTGTAATAAACTGCCTGGTTTTGATGCTTGTTTGGGACTGCAAAAACAGGAGTTGCCCAGTGCTTGGAAGGTCGCGAGACAGTGTTTTTATGTTGGTAGTATGCAATTGTGTGAGGCTGCTCTGTTTCAGTGAGTACCTGCATTGACAAAAATGTTCCCTTTTCCCTAAAAGTACTTGGACTGCCCTTTTAAAAAATTGCCTCACCCACAGGAGCAGGGAGGGAGATGCAAATCTTGGTAACTCTGATTAAAGCAATGAATTTGTACTGCATTTTTGAGAAAGTTCATTTATATACTCTTCCGTATCACCTCTTGAGCCTTTGTGACAAAAATCTGTGTTGAGAATGGCGATTTGCCTATACAGATGCTAAAAGGAGCAAAACTGCTTGATGCAGCCCTCACAGCATTTCAGGGCAAGTATCATGAATATCCAGAAATAGGACAGGGTTTACCATCATTCTAACATTCAAATCCCTAAACGGCTCAAGGCCAGGTTATCTGAAGGGTTGCCTCTTCCCATATGTGCCTACCTGGACCCTGAGATCATCTTTGGGGGTCCTTCTCCAGGAGCCCCTTCCAAAAGAATTGAGCTGGGGGGCTACCAGGAGGAGGGCCTTTTTGGCTGTGGGACCCCAGTTTTGGAACAACTTCCCCAAAGAGCGACTGGCATCCATTTTGCATTCTTTTCAGCACCAGGTGAAGACCTTTTTATTTTTCCAGTATTTTAATAGTTTAACTTTTTAACTTTGTTTTTGTATGTTCCTTTTTATTCTGTACTGCTGCTATGCTTCCATGCCGAATCACAATAATTACAATTGCTCTTATGGTTTCATTCTTTGAATTAATGTTTGTTTGCATCTTTTTAATGTTAGCTTAATTTTAACTTTTGTTAACTGCCCAGAGAGCCTCTGCTATTGGGCAGGATAAAAATGAAATGAACAAAAGAATAACAACAGACAAATGGTGCTAAATGTTACAGTGTCAGACCTCAGCCAGAATGAGCTCCTTCTTTGTGTTAACCATCTTGGGTGCCTTTTCATGTGCTTATCTGTTAAGAAAGCAGCTTTCTTCAGAACCTGATATTCCATCATCCAAAGACAGGTGGACACTGGGTGAGTTCCTGGTTGCAGAAAGATTTAGGGACTCGTCCACACATGAGTGTACATTACTTGAGTGTACATTTCACACCACTGGATTATTGTACTCCCAGTGTGCTGAAGCTGAATGTGAGCACTGTGTTTGATGCTATGTGAAGTGATATGGGAGATCCATCTAGGGGGGCTTATTCACAAGTATTGTTACCTAATGGCTGCCCACAGTCCTCCAATAAGGGGCATCCCTCTCTGAATTGCCTTCTATAATCTGGATAGCTGGTACCATGAGTCAGGGGCTCCTTAAGACCTCTAACCCTTCTATAGTTACAGTCACAGTGGCTAAAGTGAAGTAGAAGGACGTATGATAGCTCTCCTTCCAGTGCATTTTTAGGTAAAGTTCAAGGTTTTGTTGTTGACAGACAAAGCCTTGAAGCAGAAGGACAAAGGCTCAGTGGTAGAATTATCTGCTTTGCATGCAGAGGATTCCAAGTTAAATCCCTGACATCTCAAGGTCGGGCTGGAAAGATTCCTGCCTGAAACCCTGAAGAGCCATTGCTTCTTGTGAGTTTTGACAAGACTGGATTAGATGCACCAATGTCCAGGTTCGATATAAGGCAGCTTCCAATGCTTCTAACTCGGGGCTAGGATACCTTTCCCTTTAAATGGCCAGTTGACCCCTGAGCTCTTCCAAGGAGGCATTGTTGGCTGTTCTGTGACCAATAGATGGTGGCCGAGTCATGGCACCTAAGCAGGCCTTCTTGGTAGTGACACCCACACTCCGGAACACTGTCCCATGTATTGCTCAATCATCAGAAACTGTGATGAACTCTGGATGCCTCTTGAAGACAGAGTTGCTTACACAGGTTTTCTGTGACTTGGTTGTTATGTGTTTGTTTACTTGGAAAAATCCAGTGTAAGTGCTGCTTAAAGAGGATCCTTTGAACTGCATGGAACTTTAGCTAGTCATGACTAACCCAAGTGCCATGCATTTCACTGGGCCTGCCCTAAGCGGGACTACCACTGCATTTTCCCCATTATTTTATATTGTTCTTACATTGCTTTTGTATTTTATATATTTTGAACCCCTTAGAGATTTTAGAACACTATGCAGTATTCTTATTATCATTATATTAATTTATAACCCACCTAGTCTCAGTGATTGGAAGTCAAGGCATCTTACAACATTAGCATTCATACAATTAAAACATACAGAAGTATACAAAGGTTAAAATACAATTACATCAATTAAATATTAAAATCAAGCCACCACCTGGATTTTAAAAACTACAAAAATATAAACAGTAAAACTAATCTAGCACAGAATCACAGGCTGTTCCTGCTGGAACAAAAAGGTTTTCGCCTGCTTATAGAAACTGAGCAGGGAAGTCACCAACCTAGTCTCCCTGTCAAAATAATGCAAATAAACAAAGGTCCCAGGGTGTGTTTTTAAAACATGTGAGGCAGCCACCGTACAGATGCTAAGCAGGTCTGGATCTGGTCAGTGCTTGGAGGGGAGACCACTGGGGATCCATATGTGGCCACCCTGAGTTCCACAATAAAAGAAGGGTAGGATATCTGTATAATAGATAAATAATAAAGGATAAATCTAGTTCTATGTTAGCGAATACAGTTAGGGTAATGATGCTATTTATTTAAAGTATACACAGAATCCATGGTTCTGAACTGCTGTTTTAGCTCCAGAGAGATCTTTCTTTCACAAATAACTATAATACATTGTCTATAGTAATTCTCAAAACCCCAGATGATCAGAGAATAATAGAAACATAGAAACAGAGCAAGTTAGAAGGGGTCTCCCGGGCCATCTAGTCTGACCTCCGGCACCAGCCAGCTCCGCTCACGACATGCCCACCATGTGGACGTCCAGCCTATCCTTAATGTGATATTCTGTATAAAAAGAGAAGTTAACAAACTAAAGTTGAAACTAGATTAGTATATTTAAATTATCTCCTGACAAAATGTCTCTGGGGCACTGCCCTGGTCATCAAAGTCCTGAGAAGGTCGGTGCCAGAGCCCTTGGTATTAAGTGCCGTGGTGGCCATTCTTGTTTCAGGAGCAGGTGACCTGTGAATTGTTGGCTTGGGATCGGATCATGGAGGATGAGTGGCTAGTTGCAGAGTCTAATCAGAAGCCTGTTTTCAGGGAAACTCACCAGGAAACCTGTGAAAGTCTGGTGGCATTGCGTAAGTATCTTTTCTTCAGAACAAGAGATGCTCCCAGGCTGAAGGAGGCAGCATTGTGGATCCAGGAAGCCGTACCTGCTCCGTTTTGGGGTTTGCTGCTCAGCCAAGCGCTTTGTAGCTCATTCCTGTAGCAGCAGCTGCCTGAGTTGATAGATGCTACAAGCACGTGGAGGCTACTGAGCATATGGGGAGGCTGGCTGAAAGGTTGCTGAGTGGCTCAGAAACATAGAAGTTCAAAGGTGGGGTGGCACTAAGAATTCCTCCAACTCAAGGAAGAATCTGTGCAGCGATCTGAGCTTTCACGTTTAACAGATGAGCTCCGTACAGCATGTTTGCTTGGCCAAAACTGGAGGCAACACAGGCAGGGTTTATTTCTCGACAGCCAAAACTCGGCATCTGCTTTTATGGGAAATTGGTTCCCCAAATCTTGCCCAATCCAGAATGGGTAAAACAGGACAGCAAGCCAAAAGAAGAAGGCTAAAAAGTGAAAAGACATGGATTCTCCTGAAATTTGTTCCCCGACTCCAGAATGTGTAAATGAAAGATTGAAGATGCTGTCTTTTGAGTTGAGCTCAGAAGAACTAATTCTGGGAAACAGATCCAAGAAGTTTGCATGCCTGTTTGCGATAAACAGTATCAGAAGCAAATCTTAGATTGGTGCAAAGAAATATGAAATTATATTGAGCAGTTTGCAGATTTTGTACACTTGATGTCAGACCGCTGCGTAAGTGACCTGGCACGTTGATTTCATTCAAGCTCAGAGTGGAGCTGTTTCCACAAAAAGCTTCCTCCTCCCTCCCAAGTTAGGTTGCTAAACATCAAGAAAGTTGTGGAGAAGGGGAATTATAGTAGATTTGTGTGCAGGAAGATTTCTGTGCATGTTTTGGTACGGAGAACACATTCCGGGGCTGAGCCTATGCTCAGAGGCAAGATCTTGTTCCACAATTCTGCCTCTGCCTTCCTGATCCACTCCTTTGCATCTGGCTCCCCTGGGTGGATCTCAGATATCTAGTGAGAAACAGATCTTGTAAGCCAAAAGCTGTGGTCAAAAAGTGCAGAGGGATTGCTTCCCTTATCTCTGATCTGTTGCCAGAGATCTGAGATAAGGAAGAGCTGCCCTTGTTGGTGCCAGTAAGAGGAACCGCAGGCTTGTGCTTGCTTGTGCGAGGAGGCATGCAGTCCCGCTCCCTGGCCCTGCCCCAGAAAGCTTGTGTACCCCGGCCTGGCGCCTGCCCACCGCTGCAGTGGGCTTCATTTTGGCAGCAGCACTTACAAACTGGCCCCCGCTGAGCACATGGGCAGTGCTGTGGAGTTGCTGGCTTAGGGTCAGAAGCAGGCAGACGAGGAAGGGGTGGGGTACACGCACCCAGCAATGCTAATGGCTTACTGCTTTTCCTTCTTTAAGCAGGACCCCCAAGTTCCAAACCAAATGAAATTTTTTTGGTGGAAGAGGAGGAGGAGGACTCCTGCATCCCAGAGCCTGGCAACAGGGAGAGCAAAAGAAGAGCCAATTTAGGTAGGAGACTTAGGCCGCACAGCCATTGGATCCCGCACTTTTCCGCTAATGCATCTATCAGATTCTCTTCAGTTGTCGCCTGTCAGTCTTGCAGAACATGAATCTTACTCCTTTTTGCCCCACCCTCATCCACACGTTCATCCGCTCTGTGGGCTGGACCCACATCTAGGCACGGGCAGCGGGAGTGGCAGAAGTCCGCTTCCCTGCCTCGCCTCTCACAGGCCGTGAGTCCCCAGTACTGCCAACTCTGGCTGGCAGCCATGGCTCCCCAGGCAGCTTTCTTTCCTGGCCCTCCCTGGAGATGCTGGGGGTCGAACCGGGGGCCCTCGGGGTGCAGAGCAGCTGCTCGGCCGCAGCGCCACGGCTCCGCTTCAGGGCGGTTCCCAGCTGCTCCATGGAAGGGCCCTGCCGAATGGCCAGGCTGCACAACAGGCGTGCAAGAAGGACGCCCCGGACTCGCGTGGAAAACGGGGGGACCGCGTTCACCGCAGCAGGAGCCCCGACCCGCGTGTCAGGGAGGCCGGAGGGTTAATCTTGGGGAGGGCGGGAAGTGACAATTTGCATGCTCCTAAATCTGCCTCAGACCCAGAGTTTATTCCAGTCATGGATCTCTCCCTCCCTCCCTCCCTCTCTCCCTCCCCTCCCCCTCCCCCTCCCCCCTCCCTTTCCCTACCCCCCTCTCCTCTCCCTCTGTACCTAGCTTCTCTCTCTCCCTCTCCCTCTCCCTCCCCCTCTCCCTACCCC